TAGTTTAGGTAGGTAGTTTCGATACCCTTTTGTCGCGCCAATTTCTTTTGGCAGTGCTTACGTACTGCATTCGATTTTTTTACTTTCCATATACTAAACAGCCAATGGATACCAATTTGAAGCGTTCTCAATATTTGGCAGTTTGTTTGATATTTCGCTCACCCATACCTCTTGTACCTACTTCTTTGAGTTCTTCATCTAAGTCATCCAAACCAATTAGATTATTACTCTCATGCAAATCTTCGACTCCCGAACCATCAGGATTGAGATGCTATTAAGACCTATAAAATTATTATCAAACATAGGAGATAGGAATTGTGATGTCGATTGTATGTTACCACCACCAAAAATAGCTAAATATAGTTAGGAGCGGGCATGGTCCGGTTCAATTCCGAATCAAACCAAAACGAACCGAACTGAAACCGGTACCAATAGAAATTTTAGAAATAGAAACATTGATTTCATATCTAACTATATAAAGAACCAACTGGTTCTGGTCCGGTCCGATCCAATTTTTTTAATTAAAATTTTTATAAAAACAAAGTATTAAACAACTGTCAAATTAAAAATAAATAAAATGGAGTTAAAATCACTTATTATTCTTGTAATCTAATAATATAAAAATTAATTAAATAAGGTAACAAACATAAATACACCCTTAAGACTCAGGATCAATTAATGAGGGAATAAAAAAGGATAAATTATTAAATACAATATAAACTGTAAAATCTGGATAAAAAAATAATTCTTAAGAAAATTTATACAACAATATATATTAAAAAGTATGTAGTATTTATAATCTAATTATATTCAATAATCTTCAATGAGAAGATCTTGATTCTGATGATCGATCACTTTGAAAACAACGAGAAATTTGAATTCTTACAAAATATTGAATTATAAATACAGTTTTTCCTATTGGAATTGCATTAAAGGCTTAAAGTTATGAATATTTGTAAAGTACTAGGGGCAAGTAACGTGCAATACACGTTTGCCTAGTTTATATTTAATAGTTTTGTTTAAGAATTAATTTGTTATTAATAAAGATGTAATTTTTTTGGTTAATTAAATAATTAATGATGTAATGTTTATGTAATTGATAAATAATTAGATGTGTGATTTTGATGTTTGGAATGTGAAATTCTGTTACATAGTCCGTTATATTGAGACATATTTTTGGCATAGAAAGTGATCGAATTGGAGAATGATGTCTGAATCAAAGTTGTAGCCAGATGAGTTAGCTTTCCAACTCATTTTGAATCGCTTCAATCGGATATCGAAATACAAAGTTATGATAAAAACACTGAAGGAAGGTACAGCTGTCTGTTTAAAACAAAAAATTTCGTTACACAGTCCGTTATATTGAGACATATTTTTGGCATAGAAAGTGATCGAATTGGAGAATGATGTCTGAATCAAAGTTGTAGCCAGATGTGTTAGCTTTCCAACACATGTTGAATCGCCTCAATCGAATATCGGAATACAAAGTTATGATAAAAACACTGAAAGAAGGTGCAGCTACCTGTTTAAAACAAGAAATTCCGTTATATAATCCGTTAAAACAACAAATTCCGTTAGTTTTTCCGTTAAACCAACAAATTCCGTTAAATAGGCACTTTTTATATATAGAAAGATATATAAAATTATTTAGATTTAAATGTTGATTACTTATTAAGTTTTCTTTTTATATATAGAAAGATATATCAAATTATTTAGATTTAAATGTTGATTACTTATTAAGTTTTACTGTAAAAGAAAAAAGAACATGTGTATGTAAAGTGAAATTTTAGCGTAAAATAATTTTAGGGTTCAATGTTCAAGCATCTAGTACATATTTGTGCAATATACCAACAAAAAGAAAAATTAGGGAGAACCAAATTCACAATTGGTTTTTATGGCACTAACAAGAACGGTCTGGAATTGATCGGTTTTCGATGCATGATCCAAAAGCCGATCAATTTAATAAATGGACCGGAACCAAACCTACCAGTTTATTCAGTTCCTATTCGGTTCTACCGGTTATAGGGAAAATTGCCCATTCCTAAATATAGTTAAAAAATGGAAAGTATAAATAGAAAATAATAGATGAAGAATTGAGTTAAACTTGAAGTGATAAAATTTGAAAAGAAAAATAAAAAAATTGTGTAAAGTATATTGTACGAGTAATATTGAATTGAATAATAAAGAATTAAGTTGATAATCGAGAAATTTAAATTATAAAATGTAGATTATAGGTTGTATAGAAATGATTAAAATGATTGGTATTTATAAAGTTAAAAAAAATCGAATCTTCAAATGTGTCCAAAAAATATGACCGTTTGATCACATTTATAAATGAACCCACGAGTGCTCGTGGGTTTGGTCCACGAGCCGCTTTAGCTCGGGCTAATCTGGCCTATGATTCGAGCCCAACCGAATATTACGAGGTGAGTCAAAGAACCACTTGGTCCAAAGTCACCCCTACCATGCATTGTGTGTGTGAGAGAGAGAGAGAGAGAGAGAGTATTACAATGCATATTAATATATAAATTGCATTTATTATTAGAACTTAAAACATGGAAATTATATTCTAGCTCATATTGTATATAAATTGAATAATGATGTTAAAAACTGGAAAAAAAAATAGCTCTTTCAATATTAAGTAATTTTTTTTTATAGATTTGTTAGGTATAGAGAATTTATTTTTAGTTGACATAAATTAAATACTTTATAACACAGAAGTTTTTAGCTGATAATTAATAAGATATAGGCATGTAACAAAAGTGAGAACAATATACAATTTATTAGAAACTCAATAATATATAATGAAATATCATTTCTTTTTTTCCACATAGAATTTGAATGAAATTAAAATAGTATTCGTTTTAAAAAGGTGATAAATATTTTTTAAAATTATTTTCAAAACAACGTATTCAAAATAGTTTCTCATCGTATATCAAATATCTTTTTACTAGCTACGTTGTTTGATACCCGTCTCAAATTGCATGGGGTCAAACATTACTTTCAATTACTTCAAAATAATTTAAATTTTACATTCGATACAAATATATTCTCGTTACAAGAAGAATTATATAGCTGTGTAATTTGTACTCTTATTAGAACTACATAAACTTAAATTTTTTGAGTTCAAAATATATGAGTACCAATATGTTTGGATCACCCATGTAGGATGAGACATTAGTAGGGGCTGACTTCTTCAATATACTTAAATGATAGAATGCACAGCAGTATCAATATTCGATATTATCAAGTACAGCACGAAATTTGCTCACAGCACTTGCTACTTTATTAGTAGAATATAATGTGTATCATGGAAGATCATAGGTCAGATCGAGATGCATAAATTGGTCTAGGCTATATTATAATTCGAATAGAAATACGTGTTTGTATCCTCAATTGTTTCAAGAAGATCGATGAAGGTGTCCTCACATCTTTTCAGATATGAAATTGTAGATTGCGAAGACATAATTCTAATTATATTTCAAATTTTAATCATTTTTGTATTGTATTGTATTGTATTGTATTAATTTGTTTACACGAAATATTTATTCTTGTACAGTTTTAACTCTACCTATGTATTGTAGTCGGTTCCATGCCATGATAAAGGAGGAAGGTTTTTACAAATTTATAATTTCTTACATTTACACATTTCTTACAAATTTACGTTTTCATTACACTTTTACGAGTTGAAAGTGAAATTTTCGATAAAATAATTTGACGAGTCACAAGTGGCCTGTGAACCCAAATTTCTTGAGGCGAGCGCTGGATAGCTCATTTGGCGAGACAAGCCAAACAGCTCGACTCGTCCCGTTTAACACCCCTTTGTATGTGGGATTCATTTTGAGATCAAAGTTTAATACATACACAATTTATTTAAATAGATAATAATAAGACTTGATTTAAAATTCTTAAATAGAGCTGCACATAATTCATTATGGAAATAATGTAGTATACTCTCTTCCATCTACGTGCAGTAGCTAATCAATGGTTAGGTAGTTTTCGCATTAGACTTAAATTCAACTGTCAAATTTGCCCACGTTTAAATAATGGCATAGTTAGGTTATAGTGTGGGTATATAGAATAATTTATATGTTAGGTATTCACATTTAATTCATTAATGAAGGTACCGTAGGAAAAGATTATTGTCGCATTCATACTTTCCAAATTTTGTATAGAGAAGAATAGAGATGGAAGGGCATAACTATCTAAACTTTCCATATATGTAGCACTTGAATATCGACTAATGAATCGATAATAAATCAATTGTTACAATTCTATATAAGAAGTAATTGGCATAAAAGAAGTCATTTACTCTATAGTAAGAGGAAGTAGTAGCTCAAGCATTCATTAATTCAAGAAAGGACCATTCTCCTCCTATTCCCCTAGGGAGGGAAGAGCTCAAATAGTATCGATATTTCCCTACTCTATTTCCTTCTGTAGGGAGCTGCCTTGAAAGGTTTGGCCCTTGATCCAAAGGAGATAAAGTTGGACAGATTCCTGAAATTTCATTTTCAGATATCTTCATGGAAATTGAGAAGAATATGGTTATCAAAGAATTTCTTGAGAATCTTACAAGATCCTTTTATTCTTGTTTCTGTGATAGATGATCGGAACTTCACAGAAACATCGTGTCATCCCAAATACTTAAAATGATCAGTGTTTCGACTATTCTCCCTAAAAATTTGAATAGACTTAATTTGCTTCTATGTAAAGGGGGGGGAGGTGGACCTTCTACCCTATTTATATAGTTCAAAATGTAGTACAATAATGCCACGAAATATCTTTGGTGCACAGAAATCTGTCATTAGATAGTTTAAGAAAAATAGTGTTGGCAGCCAATGAGGTGCTACCAACATCGCATCTGTACACCAAGTCCATAAAAATCCCTGTACAAGTAGGGAAATCCATAATGCCACTATCCATCGTAATTTTGGTCTATATATACCAAGTTATTGTGGTTGCAATATCTCATGCATTGCATATCCAAAGCAATACTAAAAATGGCCTCTCTTCAAGCTTCATGTACTCTCTTTGCCAAGCCATCTAAATCATTCACCTACCCTCACTTTCAAGTGTCGTGCAATGCTAAGAAACCGAGTTCTCAAGATGCTGAAACTTCCCAAGTGAGAATAGACAGGAGAAATGTGCTTGTTGGGCTTGGAGGCTTGTACGGTGCATCCAACCTTGTGTCGAATCCATTGGCATATGCCGATCCTGTACAACCTCCCGACTTCAAAAAGTGTGGTAATGCTTTCGACATTGGGACAGGGGATCCTCTTAAAGTTAATTGTTGCCCTCCAATCTCCGATGACATCATTGATTATGAGCTTCCACCGCCACCACATAGATTGCGCATTAGACAGCCTGCTCATATGGTCGGGAAAGATTACATAGCCAAGTATGAAGAAGCCATTAGGCGTATGAAGGAACTTGATAAGACCAATCCAAATGATCCCCGTGGCTTCAAGCAACAAGCTAATATTCACTGTGCCTATTGCAATGGACCTCATGACCAAGTAGGGCATAAGGATCTAGACTTTCAAGTTCATGAATCTTGGCTCTTCTTTCCTTTCCATAGGTGGTACTTGTATTTCTATGAAAGAATCTTGGGAAAATTGATTGATGACCCACATTTTGCTCTACCATATTGGAACTGGGACCATCCTAAGGGAATGACGATGCCACCCATTTTTGATAACCCTTGTTCACCTCTGTACGATGCAGTGCGGGATCCAAACAATAGGGCCTCTGCTGTCGTCGATTTGAACTACAGGAGCAGTGCACCGACAAATGATCTGAGGCAGGTGGACATCAATCTCCGGACAATAAATAGTGAAATGATCACAGGCGTCAACAATAATCTTCAGTTCATGGGAGCTCCTTATTGCGATGGAAGCTGTCCCCGACCAGGCATGGGCACATTAGAACGTGGTTCTCACACTGCAATTCACATATGGGTTGGAACCAAGGATAAAACTGGGGAACATAAATATAATGAGGACCTAGGCAACTTTTACTCAGCAGGTCGAGATCCACTTTTCTATTGCCATCACGCAAATGTTGATCGAATGTGGACTATATGGCGAACACTAAGTACCCCAGTCCGTAAGGACATTACTTCACCGAATTACTTAAATGCCCAATTTCTTTTCTACGATGAAAATGCTCGTCTTGTTAGGGTGAAAGTTGCCAACTGTGTGGACCATAAGAAAATGGGCTATAAATATCATTACATGCCTACTCTATGGCGTCACTATAGTCCACCAAAGAAGCAAGCCAAGGCCAGAATAATGGAGAAAATTTCTGATATTCCGAAAGTAGCAGCCGTGTTACCTATAACCCTGAAAAACACTGTTAGGGTTTTGGTTCCCAAGTCCGCCAAGGGAAAAGTAAGTGAGCAACTGGTGATCGAAGACATAGAGAAAGACACGACAAAATTTATCAAGTTTGATGTGTTCGTGAATGACGAAGACGACGACTTGGGAGAATTGGACAGGGCTGAATATGCAGGAACCTTCGCACAAGTGCCGCACAAAACTAAGAACAAGACGAGCAAATCTTCAATTTCTTTGGATTTGACTCAGCTTTATGACTACGTTGATGTTACTGATGATGATACCATAGTGGTGACGATTGTGCCAAGATCTAATGGAGAAGATATCACCATTGGTTGTATCAAGATCGTTCCTGTGCCTTCGGAAGATGAGGTTGAATCTAATGATGATAATTAGGTTCTTCCAGGAAAATTAATATTGTTAAGCTGCTAGGAGGGATGAGATCCTTTAATCCTTTTTTAAAAAAGAAAACAAAAACGAGAATAACAATAAAATATAATAATGTCAGGAATTTTATGTTTCTTGGTTTCCAGTTGTTCTCTCTTTAAATTTCTGTTTTTGGAATAAAACTGTCATTCTACTTGTATTTGTAGAGTGATATGAAATTTGGCTTCAATAAGATTTTCATGGTACTTCTACTCGTGGTAGAATTGTTACTAAAGTAGAGAATATTGCTGTATTAGTCCCCAACCTATGCAATTCGTAATTCACAAGTCCACATTCTATTATTTTAGCAAGTCCCCAACCCATTAACTCCATAGCACTGTGGTCCTTATTTCACAGAAACCATCCAATTAACAGTTAAAATGTCACCTTCATATTAGAAAGACTCTTTTGCCCTTATTTGTAAATAACAAAAAAAATAAAAAATCCCAAAAAGGAAATTAAAAACTTAAACAGAATCCCCTTTCCATTACCCCACGTATCATGGTCCTTGATTTCACGAACGGGGTATTTCTTCTCCTTGTTTCGCAAAATTGTTAGGAGAAATAGATCCTAGTTTCGACAAAAACTAGGGGATTTTTCCCTCCTTAAGTCACGGTGTTACTGCAATTCAACAAAGAAAAAATTTGTCCATTGGGAGGGGGTGGCGGTGGCATTTGGTTGGGGTAGGATGTGTAAAGAAGATTTATTTTACTTTCTTCTATTTTGTTTTCTTGTTTCTCTATTTAGCCCTTGTTTAGTCCTCATTTTCATGTGTTTTTTGAAATATTGTATATTGGAATAATAATTTTTTGAAGAATGTGTGATTAAAAACGAATGAAATTTTTTTTATTTACATGTAATATTATTTTATTAAAAAATGTGTAATTAAAAAAAGAGAGAAAAAATGTATTATAATTTTGATAGAGGCCAAACAAGGGCTTATCGTATTAATTATTAGGGAAAATTGTAGGCACGATACCAAACATTTCACATTTTTGCAAACTTTATCCAAACATTTCATTTGTACCACCAACAGTACCAAACCTTTAAACATTTCGCACCCGGAGTCCAAATTGACATAAACCGTTAGTTTGACCGTTAGTTACCAATAATTAAATGATTGACCAATTGTTGACCAATTTTTAAATCGGTGGCATTTGGTTGGGGTAGGATGTGTAAAGAAGATTTATTTTACTTTCTTCTATTTTGTTTTCTTGTTTCTCTATTTAGCCCTTGTTTAGTCCTCATTTTCATGTGTTTTTTGAAATATTGTATTTTGGAATAATAATTTTTTGAAGAATGTGTGATTAAAAACGAATGAAATTTTTTTTTATTTACATGTAATATTATTTTATTGAAAAATATGTAATTAAAAAAAGAGAAAAAAATGTATTATAATTTTGATAGAGGCCAAACAAGGGCTTATCGTATTAATTATTAGGGAAAATTGCAGGCACGGTACCAAACATTTCACATTTTTGCAAACTTTATCCAAACATTTCATTTGTCCAAATTAGCTTGAGATTCCAAACCTTTTTTCGGTACCTTTAGAATTCGGGTCATCCGGAACTGCAGGTTTCACAAGGCCTTTCAAGACTATCACAGGTTCAGGCTCGGGTTTCGGCTTTGCACAAGTACCAGAGTGGGAGGAGGCAGCGAGTGTTTTGGTGCTCTTCCGGGGCTCTAAGAGGGCTTCTTTTGTGTAGGTGCCGACTTGGGGCTGGACATTGGAAGGAAGGGAGGTCGAAGAAGGGTGAGGGGCAATTCGGTCTTTCGATGAGGCAAGCTTGTGCGTTGATTTGGATAATCTCGAAGATGAAGATTTGGTGGAAGGGCGAGAGAATGGTGTTTCGGACGAGTCGTCATCATCGGCAAAAGAAAGTAGGCTTTTGGTTGGGGGTCTGAGGGTGTTTTCTTGGGTTTATAGATAGCGGAGGGTTTTCTTGTGGTGGTAGAAGTGCCGTTGATTGGGGTGATGGTAGATGATTTGTCTTCTTCTTCGTCGTCGTCACCGTCGTCAGAACGGTAGCAGAAGTAACGGGATTTGCTGTTGCTCATCGTAGTGAGAGTGGAAGAGGAAGGCGGTTTTAATAAGGCAGTGGGTTGGGGGTGCGTGGGGAAGAAGATGATTGGGGGAAAGGGAGGGGGGAAGATGAACAGTAGCTTATGTTTTTTTTTTTTAATTCTTTTATTTTAATTTTTGTTCATATGAAAAATGTAAAGTTACATATTTATCGTTTAAAAATTGATCAACAATTGGTAAAGCATTTAATTATTGGTCAGCTAACGCTTTTTGTCAATTTGGACTTCGGGTGCGAATTATTTAAAGGTTTGGTATCGTTGATGGCACAAATGAAAGGTTTGAGTAAAGTCTGCAAAAATATAAAATGTTTGGTACCGTGACTACAATTTTCCCTAATTATTATGTGAATAGACCATTTTGTGATTCTTAATAATGGTCAAATGAAGGTTTATAGTGTGCATATTAAATTGGGTAAATTTCATCTTTGGGTCTCCATCCATTTCGATTTGTGGCATTTTTGTCCCTGCTCTTTTTTATCCTTTTTTCCATTCCCAACCTTTCATTTATTCTCTCATATCATCTCTATTGATGATTTCCTTCCATTTTTTCCATTGGTATCACGTAAATGGACAATTCTATCCTTAAACTTTAAATAAACAAAAAAAGAGAAATTTGCAGTAGAGGTTCCAACCCTTTCGAAAAATGTGTAGTCGGGTTCAAACCTTCTAATTATAGCACATATATCTCAAATCTATAAATAAAATGTGAGCTCTAAGCAAATCTTGATAGTTCTTGTCCAAATGATCTTTAGTTGACCAAATTTTTTGAATTGCCCGTCATTTAACTTAAATACTAAAGGGCAAAAAGGTCATACAAGAAAATTATGCTTAAAACAATTTAAAACGATAAGGTTAAATAAAATCCCTATACCTACATCCAAACACATCCCAATAAATGTTTTAGTAGATTTAAACCATAAGATTAACTTATGATAAGAGTTGTGATTATTTTTCAAATTTATTAGT